ACCTCCAACCCCCATCCCTGAAACCCTGACAGGAAGTAGAGCTGCTGGGCCGGGAGAGATGCTGGAGACACTACAACCTCCCAGCTTCTTTATTCCACGTGCTAATCAGGTGTCTCTCCCAATACTCTACTCAGTACCTGCCTGGCCCGACACCCAGGCAGGGGAGGGTCACTCTCCCCCAAAAAGCCACTGCCTAGAGCCAAGAGCTTCCTGGCTCCAGAAAACCTCCGGTGATAAATTATGCAGCAGCACCTTTGTGTCGCTGCCTCTCCGCCAGATGGGAGGTTTGCTCCCAGTCTTTTGTTTCCGGCTTGGCTAGCAGCTCAGATCCTTGGCTCTGCACAGAGGTGAGGGGGAGCTCCCCATAGGCCAAGTCAAGGCTTGCTGCAAGTCCCAGGCAGGCTTTCCCCAGCTGGGTCATGGGCGGCACCCCTCCCTCCTCACTCTCACCTGAGTGAGGGGGCAGCTCCTGAAGTGCGATTAGAAAGTCCCATTAGGCACGGGGAAGCAAGCAGGCAAGAGAGTGCTGACAATCAATCCACTCATCTGTGAGCAGGATGGGAATGCCTACGTGCACTGAAAGAATGAAGCCTGCTCTGATGGGCGTAAGAGGTGCCCAAGGGCACCTAGGATGTTTGCTTCTTGCTAAATCAAAAACACAGAACAGAAAATAGACTCAAAGAGCCGCCAGGAAGCTAGAGAATCAGCTCACGGCTGCTCTGGGTTACGGTCAACTTTCCGCAGCTCCCAGAAACATCACATCACTGGCACCAACTTAAAAGGAAGAAACAAAGAGACAACAGGGGTCAAACTTTGGGGTGGAGGAGCTGAGGGCTGGGGGTGAGTCTGGGGCTGGAGACCCACATCAATTATCCCCAAATGCTGACAGGACTCTTGATTGAAGATGGTGTTGTGAAGGAAGCAGGTTCCCAACAGCCCAGCCTCCAAATTGGGGCAATTACTACCTTATGAGCTTTGAGGCCTGACTCCCTCCTCAGGCCAGTGGGAAGGAAAGTCTGGAATTCTAAACTGTTCCAGTTACAAGAAACCTCAGCCAGCCCATCTCACCCCAGGTCACAGCAATCTTAGGGCGAGAGGTTGTGGAGTTACATCCCTGATCCCTCAACAGGGAATCTCTCAGGATTCAGGCAGAGCAGGCATCCCTAGATTCACATTATAGCTTAATAGACTTCTTTCCTAGAAGCACGTGTGGATAGGCAGGAACTATGCTTAGATTTCATTAGGTTTTCAAAGGTTCCGGGAAAGAAAGAGCAAGATGTTTCAAAGAGAAAAGCAAAAAACAGGCTGAAATGATAAAGGACCAAGCCTCCATTTTAGCGCGACACTTAGTATAATTATTTGTTTACCTGGCCTCCTATATTCCAAAGGCAAGAGCCATCTCTGATCCGCTTATGCAACACTGCTAACAAATAGTTGACACTAGCCAGGCCTACAGTAACAATAGTTGTCAAGCTCTGTGCTGAATACTCCGAACATACTATTAGCTCATTTAATTTTCACAGTATTCTTATGTAAAAATCTATTGCACAGGGTCACCAAGAAGTGCCAAAGCCCAGAGTCAAACCGAGGTCTTCCTGTGTGTCTTCATTACTGAGATATACACATGATTACATTAGCATTTGACAACCATGTATTCACTGAATAAACGAACAAATGCATGGGTGCAGAGACCTGCTTGGAGAATGGTCCTGAGTGTACCAGGAAGAAAAAGTCTTGACTCTGCCAGCTCTAAACTGGAGGGAGAGCAGCAAACCCAGGCAGTCATCAGACCTATTTTTAGGGCCAAACTTGGGCTCTGCCAGTCAGCACCTAGTCTTCCCTGGGACACTGAATCCCACCAGGCTGGAAAGGGGGAGAAAGGCTTCAGCTGCTGAAGATGAGATGGCAGCATGGACAGTCTTGGGACCCTGATGCGGCATGCCCAGGCAATTGACAAAATGTGGCAAAGAATGTAGAAAGATGGCAGCTGGAATAGGCTAACAGACAGACCTAGCTGACCATAGACATGGAACTATCCCATAATTATGAGATATGCCCAATCATTAGAAAGACAAGACTATTTCTTAAAGTAGTCCCTGAAATTATTTGGTTCTCATTGAAGAATCCCCTAGTATTTTTTTCTTCTTTAAAGGAGCAGCAACGTAAACAATCTTTCCCATCTTCCTTCTTAGGGATCAAGATTAGCAGTTAATCAGTCAAAAGAGTGAGCAAAGAGCTATAAAATACCCTGTCCTCTGTGACTTCCTGTGTTCTTTGCTGGTCCAAAAGATGAACATGCTCAACGTGCTCTGTGTCAGACATGGCCAGACTTGGTTCCCTTGCACCTGTCATTCTTAATACTATGTGCCAGTCCCAAAGAAGTTATCTGATATTCAATAGGGGACAGAAGAGGAAATCCAAAATCAGTGGCAAGCCAAGCATCTTTCACAAGACCAAGAGATTAGGGGCAAGGTCACTTAAGCACCATGACAACCATGGTCATGACAACCATGACAACAGCCAGATGGAAAGGAGGCCAGTTTCAAGTCTACTCCTTTGCACTTATCCTCAGAAACATCCTCCTTTTATCTAAGTGCTCCTGAGCAGAACTTTGAATTTTTCACTTACCTGGAAGAGACCTTCAGGACAAACAGTTTCCACTCTTCAAATAGTATAACCCTCAGGATGAAAATACCCAGGGCTATACCCAGACATCAAGCTTCCTTCCAAATCTTTAAGGGTAGAGTATTATGTAGTATGAAACCAAACTTAGAGGTTCTAGGAAAAGCCCTAAGGACTAGCAAAATCCAAATTATCACCTTAAATCTTTAGTGTCTTGAGTTCACTCCTACCTGAGGTCAGGTCTGCCTAACTAATGCACGGCTACATTTGCAGAACTATAACCTTCCTGAGCCCCTGGAATTTAGTGTCAGGAATCCTCATGGAAATATTTTTGGATCCAGGCTCTGCCACTTCTCAGTCTCACATGAATCTGTCCCCTCTCAACCTCCAAGGATGGCTTAGTATCAGGCTGAGCAAAGTGCAAATCTCCCTGCCTCTGCCCACCCTATGTGCACAGGAAGTCTCCATGGTTAGAAATTTCTATTACACTTTTTCCCTTAAAAAGGAACCCAAACGAGTCACCAATAACCATCTCGTCCTTTTTTTCTGCGAAGCATTAAATATACACAATTCTCTACCCATATTCTCACTCCCATTCTCTACAAGGATGTAATGTATGCAGTTTTGACAGCTCTGAAGCAGTAAAAATCCTCTTGGCCAGTCTCAGCCCAGAACCTTCCAGCTCCCCCTTCCCTAGGGCAGAAGGCGACAATCTCCTGGCTTTGTTGCCCCCCACCCCGCCCTTTCTTTTTCTTTTTTTTTTTCTTTCCTTTTCCAGTGCCTTGCCATTTCCCTTGATCTTTTTCAAAACTTCCTCCAGGGGGCCGAAAGGAAAGTTCCATCCCCTTCCCTTGCAGTCCGAAGGGGGAAACCCCCCAAAAAGTATAGCTGTCCCTTTAAGGGGCCCATGTGGTGGGAAGAACAGCTACATTCCTACCCCAGTAGGGCCGCTGTCCCAACACGCCGGAGAGGCTACAAATAACCTTCTAGGAGAGAGCCGGGGAGGGGGAGAACACGGCGCGAAGAGGAACGTGGGTCAGCCAGGCTACTTCTAGGAGAGAAAGAGCTCAGTCGGAACTAGGCAGGACTTGGAAAAAGCCATTGGAAACCCACGGGCAGTTTCAATAACAGACACGAGAACTCTGTTTTGGATTCGGGAGCTACAACAATCTTTAAAACAAGTGCCCAGACAGTCCCACATCCTGCCAGGCAAATTCCGAAATCTGCACCGGCTTCTCTATGTTAAAGAAAGAACCCGTGCACCGCCAGGGTCTGCAGACCCCTCCATTCTGAACCCCACCCCCTCAACCAGACTGCGAGAGAAACGCGAAGATTCTGATCTCCCCTACGTGGAAAAGTAGTAGGTGCATAGGGGTGGGGCTCAAAGATCAATCTTTGATATTCGGGCACAAACTTAGAGGCTGCTACTAAATCACGGGGTGCATCCACGGTTGTAAGCAGCTGCAGAGAAGCAGATTCCACTGGAGTGCTAAGCACACAACAGTTGCGTCCGGGCACCGAACACATTATTAATAAGGAGCAGATGAAGCAGGAATCCTGCTGCCATCCGCCCAGCTCCCCGGAGGCCGAGACCCCACCGCGCGGGCCCGGAGGCTGCCCCCTGCCCGCTACCCCGGCCAGGTTGGATCTACAGGAGCCTTCCAGCAGTTTCTTCCCAATGTTTCTCCGCAACCCTTTTTCCAACCCTGTCCCCCACCACTCCCCTGGGGAGGATCTGGGGCAGGGAGCTGATTGGCTGCAGCCAGGAGAGGGAACCCAAAACACCACTAAGGGGAGATGCTGCGAGCAGGCAGTGCCCAGAGACCCTCGGTGAGAGCCAGGTCTGGAGTCCGAGCAATTGTTCATGGAGTAGAGGAATTCCCGGTGCTCAAGTACTCAGATTCCACGAGGCTCTTCCCCGCAATCCCACCCGAGACCACACAGCCCCCAGAAGGAGGACTATTTACAGTTTACAGGTTTAGCGATCATCCTCCCCTCCTCCCTTTCTTTGCACATATTCATTCCCACCAAGGACACAGAGACTCTGTCTTAACCTGAAAGGGAGGCAGCCACCAGCTCTTTAAAGAGAAACGAGGAAAGGCGAGCGACCGAGTGCCGCAGATCTTACTCCACCCAAGCAGACCAGGCATCAAGGGAATTCCTCCACCACTGTCCCCACTCGCACTTAAGGGGTTGGGGGAGCTTCTTAGTCCCTCCCCGGCACGCTACTCAGAGGTACTGCTGGAAGTGAGAGCGAAGAGGGTCTCAGGCCCCAGCCTGCGCTGCCCCGCTCCCGGGAGGCGAGTCCTGCAGCAGCCGGATCCAGGGACAAACTTTCCCGGTGGGCCGGTCGGCGCGGGCGGGACGACGCCGCTTACCGTGTGCGCAGAGCAGGGCGCCAAGCAGCAGCGCGCCCCACGGCCGCCTCATGGTACCGCGGCCGCCGCCCGTGCTCCCTGCCGACCGGGGGTCCCGCCGGCTCCCGCGGGACAGCGCGGTGGAGGGAGTCAGCCGAGGGTCCCCAGGGAGGGGAGAGGGGGCGGGGAAGCGTCCGGAATCCACCGCGGCCCGCGCGCCCCGCAAGTTGCCCTCCGGCCGCTGCCGCCTCCAGTGCTGAAGCCGAAGCTGCCCCGCCAGGGGACAGGGAGGGGGGTGTCCCGCGCCCGGCCGCCCCGCCCCCAGCGCCGCAGCCCCCGCCACCGCCACCGCGCGTGGTCCCGCCCCCAGCTCTGGCCCGGCCCCTTCCCGCCCTCGGTCCCCGCTCCCCAATCCCTCGACCCCACCCGCCTGCGCCTCCTGCGCGGGCCTGGCTCCTCAGGCCGCCCCCACATTCCTAGCCTTCTAGAGAGACCCCTTCTCTGTCCCCATTACTGATGCTCAAATGTCCCTAACTTAAAAAGAAAATTTTCCTAGCGGCAACTCTCAGCCCTGTTTCATTCTAGCTCCACGCCAGGGAGGAGCACCCGGATTGACCCTAGTCGCCTGGACGTGACCCCGGCCCCCCTAGCGGCCCCAAGTCCAGACTTTATTGATGTCTCAGAATATGCAAGGCTTGCTAATGCATAATCCTCTCGGTCATTATTGACATCATACAAGGGACATCAGGGGGCCCGCAGTGTTGTATCTTAACCAGCGTTCTCACTGTCAAAATTCCTTTTCTGAGATTTAATTCTTGCACACACTACCCCCCACACCTCCTCCTCTGGTCTAGGCAGTGTTGTTCTAGGGCTAAATAATTCGGCGACCTCCCCTTTTCATTTACTCATTTCCTGAGGTGGTTGTCTGGGTCCTGTCGCCCCAGCTCAGACGTCCAGATTTGGCCCAGACAGACTTAGTTCCTCCTCCCTGTCTTTGTAAATCAGCGTTGTTAGCCTCTTCACCTTCTTTGACTTTCTGATCTTGGCAAGGAAGGGAGGGGGGTAAGGAAATAAGTCCATACTTGCAGTTGCACTCCCCCAAGACCTCGGTCTTTTTCCAGCTTTTGTTTGTAGAGCCTTCCAGCAGTATTTAAAGTTTGGGTTACTACCTAAAAATTGTAAACTCTCTAGTATTAGCTTTGTGGCCTACTCCTCTCCTCAATGCATATTAGTAATATGGGTTAATTTTGTCACTTTCTATGTTTTTAGGTTGGATCCTCTTTTGTTACTTTTGCCCAAGTCACCAACTTTCTTAAGGCCTAGGGTATGACTTTCTCCTCCAGATATGCCAACATTTTTTGGCTTTGGGTCATCTATGGATTTCACTAAATCACTTTCCTCTCACCAGTAAATACAGCCAAGAAGAACCAAACACCCCCAAGCTAGACGAAAGGAAAGTAACTTGGTACAGTGCAAAGTGGATATAGGTGATTTCTCCAAATGGGTAGGTTGACATTTCATCCATGCTTGTCTTCCAAATGTTTTCCATTTTTCAAGGCTTTCACTTCAAATTACCATCTTTGGCCAAAGCTAACATTAACCGTACTTTGAGACAGCTACAACAACAGAAAAACGTGATATTAACTCTTTCTTAATCAGTACTTCTCAATGCTGTTTTGCCTGAAATTTTTACCCAGATGCAATGTGCTTGAAGCAGCATTACCATGGTAACTAAAACCAAGGCATTTTCTGAGCATGTAGTTCTTCTTGCTGACTGAAGGCGGCGGTAGAGCCAGGTCAGTTTTACAGGATCTAAGTGCTTAATAAGAAAGACAGTCCACCTGTTTGGCCAGCCTCAGTCACCTTAGCCTAAAATTCAAGGAGGAAAAAAAGTGAAAAGTAGAATCTTATTCCTCATTTCCCTCTCCCTTTCTAATACAGTTCTCAGAGTTTCAATATATGTTGTTATGAAGATTTGCTATCAACCTATTGAGACAGACTTTGTGATTCTGGAGACCATATTTTTGTTCCAAGTGAAAACTAGGGACATGTATAATGAGTACATTTTTCCCAAAAAAAATCCAGGATGGGCAGTCCCCATCCTTTCAATGTCAAGGGATTAAGAATTTATAAAGTTTCCACTCCATATGCAAAGGACAGGTTCTTTTCCAGAGACATGATTTGTATTGTTTTTCTGGGATTGGAGAAGAAGGGGGAGGCTAGCTGTATTTGACTCAGCCAGAGAGTCTGCATTTTCTATGTGCTTCAGAAACCCTTCTCCATGGTTCATCACAGTTCTGGTGCGCAGAGCCATCCCTGGCTGCTGTAAGTCACTGGGAATATCAATGGGTAGAAACTAACTTCATGCATGGTCCCTGCCTGGGTCACCCCCTAGGGTGAGTTAAGTCTTGGCTGTCAGAAACTGTTCTTATGCCAAGAGGACTAAGCCATATTTATTTTTACCAGGCCTCTTAGACTTTCTTGTTTGGAGTGAGAGATCCTGAAAAGCATGCCAGAATGGGTTGTTTGTCTCTCTTTTATTGTCCTCTGGGACATGCCCCTAGAAAAGTTGTAGGGGACTGCCAATTCCTGAGGGGTCTCAGAGGCATTGGTTTCCTCAGAAACACCGCTCCTTTCCTTCATCCTTCTAGGACAGTCCAGGGAACTGAATTTCCAAGATCAGAATATTGCCCTGAATCAGACCATCACTAATGGCCTTTTCAAAGGAAACACAGGGAGTGCTACGGAAACAAGATAGAAATGGGCTCAATTTTGATCCAACTGAGTTGGGGTAGAATTCTCTTGTAACCCAGGCATCACTCAACAACCCAAATTCCTAAATGTAATTCTTCTAAAAGAGAAAAAGGCCTGATGTTTCACACTTTATTCTTTTATCTTTTTTTTCTTTATTCATTTATTCATATTCACACTTTAAACCAGGAGTGATTTTGCAAACATGAGGCAATACCTAGAAACATTTTGGAGAGTGGATTCCTCTGGCTTCTAGTGGGTAGAGGCCAAGGATACTGCTAAACATCCTGCAATGAACAGGACAGCCACAGCAAAGACTTACCCAGACCAAATTGTTTAATAGTGCTGAAATTGAGAAACTCTGCTTTAAAAGATTAATTCTGCAAAGATTTGTTCCTTTATCTCTCTGTACTCACTTTCTTGTTGAAGCTAGGGAAATGGAGGGTAGGAGTTCTTAAAACTTTACAAGGGAAAACAAGAGAGACACAGCTAAAGGAGCTAAGGGAGTCCTACACCAATTTGCCCTAGGGAGGCCTATTTCTAGTATTCATTCATACCGTAAGTACTCATTAAGTACTCATAAGTGTTTTATGCCAGGCACTGTGGAGGCAGTGGTGAACAGATATGTTGGGTCCCTGGAACTTACAATGTGATATTTGCAGGGGACTGTAAGTATGCATAGGCATTAAAAGAATGATCCCACAAATGAATTTAGTTATAAATAACAGACATTAAAGGAAAAGTATAGGGTTCTATGAAAGGAGAGACTTGATTTAGATTTAGAATGGGGCGGTGGTGAGGAAGGCCTGTGAGATCTAAGTAAGAGTCACCAGATAGGCTGAGCATATTAGTTCAGTAGTAGAGCACTTGTTTAGCACTCAGGAGGCCCTGGGTTGGATCCCTAGCACCAAAAAAAAAAAACAAAAACAAAAAAAAAAAGATCAGTCTAAAAGTGAAGTGGGGGGCGTCTTTTAGATAGAAGGCGTAGTATGCACAAAGGTCCTGAGCCAGGAGAAAATCTGTAGAATGTATTGAAAGGTATCACACCACTAATTTTTAGCAATGGGTGTGCTTTTGTCTAGGTTCACAGGGTTACTACTAAAGGCTGGAAATACTGAAATCCTCAGGGAATTGTGTGATTTGCATTTCTGGGCTTTCTTTATTTGCAAACCCTCCACACCACCAATTCTAGTGCCAACATTTTTTACGTTCCAGCTCAGCGGTGGTACTTCAGTCAGGATCTGGGGCATGTGGCTGATTTTGTTGCCTCGCTTGGGGCACACCCTGAAAGATGGGGGCTTTCCAGAACATTTATATCTCTTGAAAGCTTGATATTCACACATCTGACACAGATATAGTCTTTGCAGCAAATAGCTTGCTTATTGTGGCAGCAAAAATAAATTTAGAATGGTAGATAATAAATAGGTCAACAAACAAATGTTCATTTAATAGCATATGAATCAAACATCCACATAAATAATCTGTCTCCCCAACTTTTTCCTTACCCAGAAACCAGAGCCACTTTAAAAAAATAAGTCAGATCATATGTTATTGGGCTTAAAACCTTCCAATAATTGACTTCCTATTAGATTACACTTAGAATAAATCCTTCTAACGTGGCCTTTAAGGGTTGTTATAGTCTGAACTCTGCCTATTTTCACTGCTTTTCCCCTCACTCATTTTGCTCTAGCCATGACAGTATTCTTTCAACTCTGCAGCCCCCTATCATTTCTTTCTTACAACTTGTGCATGTGCTCTCTCTCCTCTACTTTGAATGCTGTTTCACTAGACCCTTCCTCTGACTGGTCTCAGCTCAGCATCATGACCTCAGAGAATCTTCACCTTGCCACCTAAAGTTGCCTTACACTTACTTACTGCTATATCCTATTTTATTTTCTCCACAACATTTATCAGTTTTTTTGAAATAATCTTGTTTGTTGTTACGTTTATGGTCTCTTTCCAAACCACTAGATAATAAGCTCCTGTGGTGTGGGATCTTATTTATTTTATTCTATTTTTATACCTTAAAATAGTGCCTGTCACATATTGCGAAATGAATTTTTGTTAAATGAATGAAAAACAGACTGTCTGCTGGGTCTGGGGAAATGCAAAGATGAGGAAGACAGGGTCCCTAACTTTAATAAGTCCTTAAACAAGTCCCTAACTTTAACAAGAAAACTTGCAAAGCAATGATAATGTATAAAATGTTGTGGAAACAGAGAAGAGAGGACTCTTAAGTTTGGGGTAACTGAGCATTGAATGTGGGGAAAATTTCACTGCGTAAAGAAAGGAGAAGCTGGGTGCTGGTGAATCATGCCTGTAATCCAAGCTACTCAGGAGGCA